TTTCGTAATTTAAGCGAGTCGGTGCCAAACTTTAGATTCACGGGGCCCCAGGACGGCTACTAAGGGAGAGTTTGTTTTAAAAATATATTTATACAAACTGCTTTCAATAATTATATATTTAACATACTTTAATAAGAAATTATTAATTATAATAATATTATCGTCATCGTAATTAAAAAAAATAAATATATGGACATGTGTATTGCATTTTTTTTTTTTTTTTTGGTACTTGGCTGGTAGGCTAGGCCCCTGGGTGGTAAGAATCTTTAGGCAGCTAAAAACGGACACTAGTTACAGATAAATATCGGAGTATAGTTTTCAAGAACGAAATTTATAAAACCGTACGTTTGGAGTATATCGCTATAGGTTTTGAAATTTGGACGATAAATGAACATGAATATCATGAATATATGATGAATATAGATGAATATGAAAGGGATAATCTGGAAGCGATGGACATGTGGACGCGGAGAAAAATCTCAAAAACAAGCTGGGTGGAACATAAGACAAACGAAGTAGTGCCAGACAAATTCGACGAGAGAAGAACAACGATGCACATGATAATGAAAAATAAAATTAAGCTAATTGGACGTGTGCTGGAGAGGCGATGAGTTCACCGCCGTTATCGTAGAAGGAAGAACGAACGGTAAACAAACCAGAGAAAGACCGCACAAAAGATTCTTCGAATGAACATTGCGTTGGACGGGTTCTGTCGACAACTTAAACGAGGACGGCGGCGTGTGACAGACGCTAATGGCTGCGATGACAAGGTTCGGTCGTCAGCGGATGACACAGTCCAACGTGCCGCGGAACCGATGGACCGGTGTGGGCCGTTCAGATGAAGGAGGGGCAACGGGACCATTTTGTCTCAGGCTCAACTGTTGGAATATTTTTTAGCGAGCCCCATAAAGTCTTGATATATAATAATTAATAATAAAACATCAATTACACTGAGTAATTTTACACACTGCGCATCGGCGATTAAATTCGCGCGCATGTTTGTCCGATTACATCGAGCGATTAAATTATAAAAAATATGAATAATATTCAATTATATTATGTAAGTGTATAATGCAGTGCATGAATTTAAATGAGCTTGATTGGTTAAGGTTTTTGAAAAATACGTTTGCAATAATTTTGTTATTCTCAGTGAATATTTTGTTTATCATATCCTATTATTTTGGTCGAAGGGCCCCCAAATTGATTTTCCTCTGGCCCTGGGTGTGGGTATCGGGGTCCGGATTGTCATGAGCGAACGATGGTGGGCGGGTGCACACGTAACCGTTGTCGACGCGTTCGGACCGAAGACGGAAAGGGATCGTCGCCGGTCCACCGTTAGTTTTGTCCGGGGCCGATCCGCGACGAACGCGCGCGCCTGACGATGTTTTCCGGTAGCCCGAAACGTATTCGATCCGAACCACCCCCCGGGAAAAGCTTGCCTCACTCGCGTCCCCACCACCGTTACTGTCCATTGTTTGTGATCGGGTGCCGTTGCTCGACGTCCTGGGTCAGTGTAACCGTAGGGTTTCGCCGTAGTGTATAATTACCGACGTATAAATTTACATACATTTAAATATATATATATTTGGTATATCGTACCAGTAGCGGCTCGTAGTAAATATTCTGGGGAGATTTAAATTATTTAACATAACTCCGTACAATAACGAACAAGAAAAATCCTTGGAAAATTAATTATACTCGATATTTAATTTAATATTTAGTTAATATTTTTAACTTGATTTAATTGTAATTTTTTTTATAAACTAATTGAATTCTGCAATTTTCTTATTTGTGAATTCGCAAATAACGGTATACAGCGACTAACAATGGCGCGATGACACGGAAATTATTGTCGTGAACCCAGTTTCAACAGCGTCGATAATACACGGATTATTCTCCCTCTCTTTCTAATAAGCCAAACAATTACATGTTACGATCGAACCTGTCGAACGTCAGTTTCTCTGAAACGGCGACTGTCATCGAAATTACTTAAATAATGTTTCCGTCGAAATTACTATAGGTTTTATTTATTTTGTGGCCTTAAATTTATAATAATAGATAAAGAAAACGATATAACATATTTTCAATAAAAATAAAAATATTCTATATATTTTTTAATAGTAATTATTTACAAGTAGCTGTTTTTTTTTTTTTTTTTTAAGGAAACGCATTCTCAAAGTCTCCCCTGACAAGCCGCCCCTAAATTGTACACGAGATGACGACGAACGGACCACCGACTGTTTTTGTAGAACAATTTGAAATTGATACCAATCATTTTATCGGTTTAAGAGATTACGTTATGGTAAAGATTGTGCAGGGTACAATTTCTGATTTATGTCACGGTAGCGCCAACATATCATCTGCCGTGACTGTATGTCGACATACATTATCTTCGTCTTTTCAGCGATGTACCACGAGCAACACCGTACACCGGTAAGGTGCCTAGTGAGATAACGTTGCAATACGGGAAAATATTTCAGGATCGTTAAGTGGAATGGGATGAATGTTGACGCGGAATAAGAAAACCCGAAAAAAACTAACAGCATTAATCGACTCCTCCTCGAAGAAACTATAAACCTTTTTTCTTCGAGTTGTACGTCGAATTTCAGATGCACGTAAAACATTATTAGTACCGTTCTACATCATTTGTTTTTTTTCTTTTTATGTAACTCCACTCAATTATTTACGTGTTATTAATTCCAGTTACATTTTGTAAAATTCATAGTTAAACATAGAACTACTTGTATTATTATATGAGTGTTAATTTAACATTTATTTTTTTAATAAAATAATAAAATAACTAATATGATAATAATATTTGATATTACAGTACTATAATAGTATATGTTATAACTTTTGGTATTGTACATTTATTTATTTATTTATACATGTAATTTGTTAGCCTTTAAACATCTATAATTATTTTACTATATTCTTACATCATTTTTAAAATATTAACTTTCAATTGCTTGCATTTACTTTCCAAGTTATTATGCTCATGCAAAAATATAAACAAAATTAAACAAAATTACGCATAATTATTAGTGCTATAATAAAAATTTATTCACGATTTGTAACAAAAAAAAAAAAAAGATATTTATCTGAAAAGTTTTTTTCAGAATCAACAATCCTATAAAGTTCAGACACTTTCAAACTTTTCACTTACATTTTAAATGTTTAAAGAAATAAATATTTAAAAAAAAATATTATTTCAAATACTTTTCAATATTAGTATTTTTATAAAGAGAATATAAATACTTATATAACTAAATATACATTGAAATAAAAAAAAACTATGTATTTGAATATTTTTTATTTTTATGGTTAAAAAAGTATCTACATTTTCTTTAGGAGAAATAATTATTTGATTACAGTATCGAATTATATTGAGTTGTCTTAAAAGTAAATGACAGTACGATAAGTAAATTTCTTTAATATTTGTTCGGTACAAACATTTTTTTTTTTTTTCAAATTGTTTCAAATACTAAATTTTAAACATATCATTTAGTTTATTATAATACTTATCATATATATTTTAAAATTACATTTTTTTTTTTTTAGTGTTACAGGTGAAATTTAATTAATACCACGTCATCGTATATAAAATTAAGTCTAAACAATTAATAGTAAATAGAGCTTGGGAGATAACCGTCAATGGCAGTAATTGACGTTTCAATAAATATATCATGTATATTTATATGTTACCGTCAGTGATGAAATTTAGTCGATAATATTTAAATAGATTAATAATATTTATTGGTATCATTATCAGAACATAACGTGAATTCACTTTATGCACAGGATAAACAATAAAGTGAATGTAGTAAAAATTATGCTTATTGTTACATGCATTTCATAATTGTATAAAACAATTTATCTTCTTGCAGTAAGAAGTCTCGTTAGATAATTTTTGTTTTTAAATATCATCGCGTTGAACCGATTTTTCTATCGTTACTTTATTCTTATAATATTTATGATTTGATTTTTAAGTATAGGTACCCGAATCCAAAATATGCATAGTCCCTACAACTAAACTATGAAACAATCTAAACTTCGTATTAAAATTTCTTAAGTTTATTCATCGATATTGGTATTAATTCAAATTTTCAATTGGCAAACGAATTTTTTTTTTATAACTTTCTATAAACAAACATAATCAAACTTCAAGTAACACTATGTTATGTATAAGATAAGGGTAATACAAATAAATACAATTTTTATTTTAATTTATAAGTTATTTTTGTTAATTTATATCTTTAATGAAGTAATTATGGACCTTAAGAATGAAGTCACATATAATTTTACCACTTTATTGTATTATTTTCATGGGACATAATAACGTATATATTCTTGTTGTTATAACGTTTGTATGATTAAAATACATATAAGTTATATGTATTTTAAAATACATATAACCATTGGCGCCCGGAGGGGGGGGGCAAGAGGGGGCATTTGCCCCCCCCCCGCAATTCAATAGGATGTTGAATATTTTAACTTTTATTTTGATTTATCAACATTTCATCGATATTTTTACTTTAGTATGTGCCGTGTGGTGTTGTTGATCGCAATGACAATATATTATAAGGCGTACCTAAAAAATAATGCGTATTATATTAATGGCGCAAAATTAAATACGTTTCAATTCTGTGAATTGATATTAATCGCCTAGTGTGTAAGCCACTTATGACGATCGACGCACCACACACACATACGCACACGACGTCTGTCAGATAACTGAGATAACTAAAAATAAATCGAATGTACAATATCATATTGGGAATTATTGTAAAATTAAATTATTTGTCAACGGGCCGTCTACTAAGAAACACGGATCACGCTGAATTACGTACGTATTGTATTTAGTATATTTAATATTTTGTTTTATTGTTAATATTGTTATGGACATCAGACATTTTTTTAAAAAACCTAAGCTTTGTGATTCTCTTAATGAAGCCTCTACTGGCTCTACTTCAATTGAAATAAATAATAGTACAGTCAATATGGAGTCGTCGGAATTGTGTGTAGTTGAAAGTGCTTCGGTTACCATTAATACAAAAAATAACCGTGGTCATATAATCTTAACCTATGAAAAAGATATTGGAAACTATTTGAACGTCGAAAATATTGACGAGTGTTTAAAACATGAACTTTTACGTAATCCTTGGGTACCGAATACTACTTATGATTTTAAAAGTGATTTGAAATCAGGAAGAACTCGAGCATTTAGACATCAATGGTTGCAGGAAAACGGTTCATGGTTGACATATTCAGCTCTTGAGGGTGTGAAAGGAGCTTTTTGTAGAATATGTGTGTTGATCAAGCCATCAATTCATAGAGGTGTACAAGGTGGATTTATAATAAAACCTTTTACTAAGTATAAGGATTTTCATGCATCTTCTAAAATACATTTGTCTTCAAATTGGCACACTGAATCAATGTCAAGAGCAAAAGATTTTATGGATATTATGAATTGTAAAAAAATTAGTGTTATTGAACAAGTAAATTCTGGATTGCATAAAGAAATAGAAACTAATAGGCTAAAATTAAAATCTATTATATCAACTATTTTGTTCTGCGAAACTCACCACTTTCCCTTACGAGGGAAAAAATCAGATTCTGGTGTTTATCATGATCTTTTGAATTTTCATATTGAATCTGGCGATGAGATATTGAAAGATCATTTTTTAACTAATGTGGGAAATGCTAAATATTCATCCCATAGAACTCAAAATGAATTAATTACATTGTGTGGAAAATATTAAAAGAATAAATAGTATGTGAAGCTAATGCCGCGAATGCATTTTCCATTATTGCTGACGAATCAGCAGATATTTCTGGTGTTGAGTAGCTAACAATTTTAATTAGATTTTTAGACTAACAGTCAAAGATTCGAGAAGAATTCCTTGGCTATTTACCATTAGATAAATTAGACGTAGAATCAGATGCTACTAAAATTTTATCATTTATGGAAGATAGTAACCTTAATTTAAGTAAATTTTGTAGACAAGGTTATGACGGCTATGCTACAATGGCTGGAAAAGTAGGCGGTCTTGCTAAATTAATTCGTGACCGATATAATAAAGCTTTATATTTCCATTGTGCTAGTCACCGATTAAATTTAGTAATTAACGATCTAAACAAAATTATGGTTATTCGTAATACTATTGGCACAATAAAATAAATTATAAAATTTTATCGCGAAAGTACTCTTCGAAGAAATCTTATACCTAATATACCACTTTTTTGCGAAACACACTGGTCTTCAAAGTATAAGAGTATTAGGCTATTTTCTGAAAATTTTATTGCTATAATTCAAAGCCTTCAATTTGTGTCTATTAATGGTCTTATAAATTCGAATACAAGACAACGTGCACTATTTCTATACTCTTCAACCTCAATTTTTTCATTTATAATTAGTATGAAAATAATCGCAAAATACAGCGCTATCTTAGAACCGGTTACAAATATTTTACAAGGTGTATTAATGGAACTTTATAAAGTTCGGGAACATGTAGAGGAATTGATAAAAATGTTTGAAGGCAATAGAACAAATGCAAATGAAATCTTTGATTTATTATTTACTGATGCCAAATCTGTAGCAGATGATTTTGAAATCACTATTACTTGTCCCAGAACAACTGGAAAACAATCACACAGAAACAATTATCCTTATGAATCTCCCAAAGACTATTATCGAGTATCAATTTTTCTACCTTATCTAGATTCTATAATTCAGTGTATTAAAGAAAGATTTGAAAAAAGTAATAGTGTTGCTTTTTCACAACAACACATTCATCCAGCATTATTTATAAAAATGAAAAAACAAGAGTATACTGACAGTATAACTAATATTTATAATTTTTATAAAATTGAAAATTTGTTAGCTGAAAGTGAAAGTTGGTATAGTTTATGGCAAAAAAAAAGACTGCCAAAGTATGGACATAATAGATTTACTAGAACACAGCAAAATATTTTTCCCTGGAATTACAATTGCATTAGAAATGTTTCTGTCTTTGCCAGCTACAAGTTTTGCAGCTGAAAGATCATTTAGCACTTTACGAAGGGTTAAAACTTGGCTTCAGTCTACGACGGGTGAAGACCGATTAAATGGCCTATGTATGTTAAGTGTCCATCGTGAAAGAGTTGATACAAGAAAAGAGAAATTAATTGAACAGTTAATAACAATGTTTGCAATAGAACAACCACGAAGACTTCAGTTTTTATTTAACTAATTTTTTAAGTTGTAAGGAGGAATATATTTTTTAATGTTCTTTTTGGTGTTGGATTTCATAGAATTCTAACACAATTTGTAGTTTACAAGGAATAAACTTTTTTTAATGTTTTTTTTTTGTGTTTGATTTCATTATGCCCCCCCCCCCTGATAAATTTCCTGCGAGCGCCCATGCATATTACTATGGATTATACTGTTTATTTTACTACATGTGTGGTAAAAATCAGTTTTGAGTTACTTCAATTTTCACATTATTTTATGATGGGGGTAATGTATTAGAATTAAACATACTATTGATGGTAAAAATAATTGACTTCATAAAACATACTTGATAAGACACGCAGACGAAAACAATAAAAATAACAGTTAAATAAAAATCAATCAATCACGGATATGTTATGGAAATACAGAATTGTGTATTATATAAGTAATTAAAATAAACTTCAAACGTTGTTTTTTGAAATTTACTACCTACTACATTACACAAATAATAAGTATACATTATTGGTCTTAATATCTTAGTCTTATAGTATTTTACATTTTTAATTTATGGAAAAAAAAATGAGGTAAATTAAAAATGAAATTCTATGCATTTTTTTGTTTCCAAAATAATTTCGAAAATATACTAACTTTTTTTAAGTTAAAAAAATATTAAATGTTTAAGACAACTCTGTTTAATAATTATAATGTTCAAAAATTTGTCAGTGGCAATATCAATTGAATAAGATTTTTAACTTAAATGTGTTACCCATAAATACACCCATTTAAACACATTAAATATATTTTTTGTTTGAATAAATTAAATATTCATAAATTGAAATAATACAAACAAAGTTACAAAAATACAGAAAAATCCATAATTCTACTAAAATTATAAATTATTCTTCGACAAATATTTGTTTAGCAATATTTTAAACGTAGTTTATACAAATGAAAAGTACTTGTGTAATATTAGTACCATAATAATTTTGATTACGTGAGGAATGATCCATAAAAATATATTTCTACATTAAAACTTGTTTGAATCGGCATAATCAGGGGCTTATAATACATAAAATGATAACTAAAAAACCATAAAAAAAAAAAGTTAAAACGAAAGATTGGAAGCGATGGGTATGTAAATTTGGAGAAGAAAAAAAAGGACGAGCTGAACAAAGAAGAGAAGGAACAACGCCATCTTGCAAGAAATATGTGAAGAAAGAAATATAATTATAGCTATTATGAAAAGGAAAATGAAGATTATCGGAGGATACCTGTTAAGACATTATGTTTTCGTCACAAACATTTGGAAGGGGAGATTATGGGTAAGCGATCAATAGGAAGACCCAGACAATCGTATTTCAATGATATTAATCAACGAACGAGCTTCACGTTATACCAAAAACTGAAAAATACGGCGCGAGAAAGTAGAGATTATTATGACAAGTCCTTGCCCATAGAAACTGATTATAATGATAATATTTAGATGTACATTAAACGGAGAGTAGTCGCTGCAAGTGTCGCCCGAGTGTGACCTCCTAATTATAACGTACCTTTTTAATAGCCCAAGTGCGCCCGCAGTATTATCTCTGATATTATACTATATTAGTTTTTAAAGAATATATTTGGATTACTTATGCTGAATGAACATGGTGTTCATATAAGTTTCATAGAAAATTTTATGTCTGTCAAGCCTGATGATGAAAAACTCAATGGATTTTATTGATCCATGATTCCCTCCTCGTACATGGACAAATATGAGTAGTACTAGTGAACAAAATACAAACTCGTGTGAGAGCTGCCATTCAAATGTAATTTGTGTTTTTATATAGACATAAATATATCATACAGACATATATTTCTCCTGAGATATTTAAAAAAAAAAATACAAATTGACTCAAATATTTTAATACAAACCTCTAATACCTTAAAAAATTAGATCAGTGAATTAAAAAAAAAATAAATTCATCTAAGATAACATACAAAAATATTTTATTAAACGAATATTTAGATTTGACCATCTGAAAATCACCTAATTAAAATTTCAATTAAATATAAATAGTTAAATAATATAAAAATAAATTTTAAGTAAAAATTAGTACACTAATCCAACATTTTAAAAACAAAATTAATTAATTAATTAAAATAAAACAATTAGGTAAACAAAAATAAATCAAATATTTTTGGGGCGTAAGCCAGTTCATCTAATCGTGATGCACTCTTGGTAACTCTAACAGAACTGGGACGCACTCGGGAGGTACCTTATTCCGGATGCACCCGAAACTTGAAATGAGGGTCATTTCATTCACTCAGGAATCTCATGTCGATGTTAGTTCTAAAAAAATACATTTGTGAAAATATTTTTTTTCTCAAATTGTTGTTTTTAATGCCCTCCAGTCTTAAAATGAATTGTATATTGTTTTCTATTTTCATAATCAAACTGAATTGAAATGTAAGTATTTTCATAAAAGAGGTCCCCTGACCAATTTAAGTTATAGCTAAGGGTCCGTAGCTTCTGACTAATTAGGAACCACTGATGTAGATAATATTGGTTGCGCAACGAGCATAGACAATATTTTTCTGCCGTCAGGACGTAACTAATAAAAAGTTAGTGTTGTTATTACGTTGTGTATTGTGAAAGTTCATTGTTTGAAAATAAAAATCGAAAATCGACTAGGAATGTCATGTTTTTAAAAATCAGTAGGAAGACGATTACTTTTTTATAGAATAGCAAAATAAAGGTATGTGTATAATATATAGAGAAATTATTGCAGTTTTAAAATAATTTAATATAAAACGACACTATAATACTAAACATAAAGACAAATTTAATAATCTAGTAGGAATAGAAAAAATAGAAAAATTGAATTTATTAAAAAAAAAAAATAGTTTTCAACAAAATATATTTAAGAAACAATGTGAACAAAATGCGTCTACTGTTCGTGCTAGTTATCGATTAATTAACAAATTAACTATTAATTAATGTAAAATTTTAAAAAAAAATTTGTAATTGTAAAACGATATTTTTATACTTTATATTTAAATTTCCATGTGTAGTTATAATCTAATATAGATTAAATAAAGCTATAAAATACATGCATTTAGAAATAATTTTTGGAAGTGTAGGCCGATATAAATTTTTGATTTGTAGTAATTATTAAGTTTAGTATTTAATAAAGCCATTAAAATTAGTAAAAAACGTCGTTAAATGTGAAATTAACTACCTATACCTAAAATTCTGATGATTTAAAGTAAAATTTTTTTTATGGCCTGAGGTAAAAGTTTGGCCACCACTGAGGTGAACGAACCATTTTGAACTAATTACATCCCAGGCGCAATTCATGTTATATTTTCACTTGCAATTAATTATTTTAAGTGGTTCCTTAAATGATACTACCATAATATATATATACTATGTAAAACATAAAATAAATCATAAATCTCAATCACTATATTTAAAAAATAATTGAAGTTGAAATACATAATATTATATTATAAATTATAAGTCGAGTTAAATTAAGTGTTAAATTTATGAAAAAAGTGTTGATGGATTTAAAAAATGTTTCTTGGCCATAACTTCAAAGGAGTTATTAATTTATTATTTATGCATGTATATACTAAATATATTTTTATTGTAAACTAGCTGACCCGACAAACGTTGTTTTGTCATATAAATTATTTCTAGAGAATATTTTGCTAGAAAAAAATAACTAATTAAATATAGGCATGTAAGAATGTGGGTAAGGATAAGGATGTAAGGAAGATATATGACGTGCTATGAATGGTAACGAAATATAAAAATGAAAAAACATCAAACATTTATTTTTTTAATAATTTATTAAAATTGATCCATTAAAATAATATACATCGCTAATTATGACAATATAAGTAAAAAACAATATCTATCCCTTAATGCAACAGAGTGTACAATATTTTTTGTAATCCCATCTTTCGCAAACACAAACTGGATG